GCCTTCTCGTCTCTCCCGCCCAACCCCACCAAGCTCGTCACGCGTGGAGCAGGAGCGCGTGACGAAGCCCTAAGTCTGCTTGACACGTAGCCTGTGAACAGGCTCTCTCTTGGGGAAAAATAGCGAGGAAAAGGAAGGGAAAGGGGGAGAGAGAGCCTGTAGACAAACATTTGAGGCCGCTATTCCGCCCTCTTGTAATTATCCTGCCGATCATCTGTCAGTAAGATCGTTATCGGTCAATCAATTTCGCGCGTGAGTAACTTCTGGGAAAATTAACAGGAAATGAGTGGTGTTGATTGTTGATTTTTGTTGATTTTGCAAAAAGTCGTTGATCTCCGGTAAGAGGATTTAAAACAAGCCGTTCGTCTTGCTAGTTCGGTTTGTAATTTAACAAGCCGCTGCAATGAGCGAACTTGGAATGCGGAAGGTATAGATACTATCATGACTTCTCCAGAACGTGAAGCTTCGAAGATAAGTACAAAGAGATCAGCAGCGCTTCGATCGCCGACAGGAATTACATGGTAGGCCACTTTTACTTTATGCCAAACTGCTGCTTGTTCCCATAAGTTTTTTCCTCTGCGGGGTAGATTATTCTCTGGAAGGTTCTACATTTTCACTGAGCAAATGTGATTTTAGCCGCTTGTTTCACACTGAGAGGTCATGACACACATATCGATTTACTGTTGTTTTTTGTTTCTGGTCGACAGGATTTGCCCTCTGATGCAAGAGCATTTCCCTTTTTGCGGCTGAATAAGGGTCTTACTTTTCTCCAAAGTGCCTTCTCGATCTGAATAACTAAGCGATTTTCTTTAGTCCGTGAATGTAATGACTTTCTGCAATTAAATGTTGTATTCTGACGCTGGGCCCAGCTCGTCAGTGTTTAAAAATTATCACGGATGGTTATTTACAGATCCAAAATTATAAGATTGAAATGCAGCTTAAACCGAAGCTACATCAGCTATGGAGAATTGCATTGTGCTTCGGTAACTATAAACTCCAGCTTAGTGTTTTTGTATTGGGACTTGTCAGAAATTAGCAGGGGGGAGGGGGGCTGGGAATTTTAAATTTGGGTTCGGAAATGATATGACCCATACCTGCAATGGGAGTGAAATTGGCTAACCCTCCCCTTGACCTTGGCCTAAAATATCATGACCCCCCCCCCCCCTAAGGAATCATTTTTTAAAAAGAGATGTACATTTTAAGGAAAACTATACTGTATAATATTGTAAAACTTTGATTTTTAATTGGAGTCTTACTAGACGTGGTAAAATGTCGTGTAAGTCTTTTTTAATAAAAACAGTCTCACGTCAGATTCGATGCTTGTTTTGTTTTGTTCTTTTTGCAGTTGTTGTCTTTGTTTCTATTGCACATATTAAAACCGTTACTATCTTTTGGATGTAGTTTTAAAAAACCATTTTTCAGTACCTTCAAACCACCTTGCTGCTTAAGCGTAATTCTTGGCTTACAGAGCTGTATTAGTCAGAGTATAAAAAAATATGTCTATTTCAAAGGAACAAGATAAGGTACTTTTGTTTGAACAGGACTCGTCGGTTATGTTTGAAACGGTGTCATATCTGTTCATTTTCAAACAGCAACTTCGAACCCTACGAAATGGCCCATCAAATGTTGAATATCATTAGAAATTTTGGATGAATAATTGCAGAATTAAATGTAAAGATCTTTACAGTTATTGCCGCCTCTTTTGCAGTTGCGTAAAGAAAGCCTGAACAAATTTTGGGCTTACACAATTTGAGTCTCTGAGCTACCGGTGGAGCACTCTAGCCAAATGAGCTAACAAACCAACTGGGAGATTGGCCTTTGTTATTGTTCTTCTGCAGTAAAATCAGTCTACATCTCCAAGTTTTAAAAACAAGGAAGGCATTAAAATGGGGCTTCAAATGCCACAAGTTATCCCCCAGAGTTTGTGTTTATAAGTGAGTGTCCTCATTGTTCACTGACATTCTTTTCAAGCAGCTCAGTTAGTCCGGGAGTTAAGGACGTTTTGCTTAACCCAATGGACAGAAAATGTTTTGACGATATGGATGCATCCTCTTTTTGGCTAGGTAATTTGTGGTTTCATATTGTAGGGGCGGATCCAGGATTTCTTTCAGGAGGGGGTGCACTCGTCTTTTGCTCTTGATTTCAACACCAATAAACCAATTTTTTTTTTTTTTTTGCAGAATACCAGTTGTATTAGAAAACTGCAGGTCATCTCAGCGGGGGGTGCGCACCCCCTGCACCCTCCCCCTAGATCCGCCCCTTAAAAAAAAAATATGGTATATGTTTGAGTTATATAACTATGCTTTTAAAAGTCGACGACAGTGAAAATGAATTTAACATAAGAAAAGCGAGTCTGAAAATTGAAACGAAACAAATTCTAAGAAACACACAGCCCAAAAAAACCAACATGCTCAAACTAAACTTCTCCAAGATACTTTTTAGCAAAAGCACCGCTGTGACATGGAGGTTTTTTACGATGTTTTGTAGTTGTTGAAGTGTCCTGAATGCGGCGAATTAGATCTTTTGTTTTAATATGAAAAATGACAATAGAAAGGGGCTGTGCCTCGAGTTTGCGTTTATTGTGTAATACCTGTGGCTGGAAACATTTGTTTTACACCTCGAAGCAGCAATGGAAAAGATATGACTGTGAACAGGCGCGTTGTTGACAGCATAAGAATTCTTGTAAGGGCCCAGGGGCGTACTGGTGCTATTAAAAATAATTCTGAACTAAATAAACCCGTATAGGCCACCACCTCTGGCTGCAAAAAAAATATGTTAAGATTTCAGGCGTGAAAGGGAGGGGGAGAGCCCCTTTCCCTTCCCTCTCAATTTGTTTACCCTTTCCCAAACAGAGAACCTGTCTAAGAGGTAAGCGTTTCCTTTCATTTCCTTCATACATTTTTGCTCTGTTTTGCCTCGCGCGTCTTCCAGGTTTCGTTCTTGCCCCGCTTGGCCTAAAGGAAACGGAAAAGACTGCTGCAGGCAGGTTAACAAACGTGCCTCCCGCCTTCTCGTCTCTCCCGCCCAACCCCACCAAGCTCGTCACGCGTGGAGCAGGAGCGCGTGACGAAGCCCTAAGTCTGCTTGACACGTAGCCTGTGAACAGGCTCTCTCTTGGGGAAAAATAGCGAGGAAAAGGAAGGGAAAGGGGGAGAGAGAGCCTGTAGACAAACATTTGAGGCCGCTATTCCGCCCTCTTGTAATTATCCTGCCGATCATCTGTCAGTAAGATCGTTATCGGTCAATCAATTTCGCGCGTGAGTAACTTCTGGGAAAATTAACAGGAAATGAGTGGTGTTGATTGTTGATTTTTGTTGATTTTGCAAAAAGTCGTTGATCTCCGGTAAGAGGATTTAAAACAAGCCGTTCGTCTTGCTAGTTCGGTTTGTAATTTAACAAGCCGCTGCAATGAGCGAACTTGGAATGCGGAAGGTATAGATACTATCATGACTTCTCCAGAACGTGAAGCTTCGAAGATAAG